CAGTGGATCCCGACTGAGACGAACTGGACTTAGCTGCGGTAGTGGCTAACCCCGTCGTAGGAGCAGCAATTGCCGTGGATCCAGTTGATACCACTGCCTGGGACGACGGCGCGACCGTGGATTCGGTCTTGGACGCCGATCCCGACTTTGATACAGCGACGGATCCAGCCTTGGCAGGCGATCTAGACTTGGATGCCGTGGATCCCGCCTTGGCAGTCGATCCGGACTTGGATGCCGTGGATCCCGTTTTGGATGCAGCAACGGATCCAGTCTTGGATCCAACTCCCGCTTTGGACGTAGCTACGGATCCAGTCTTGGACGCCGTGGATCCAGTCTTGGGTCCAGATCCAGATTTTGACGCAGCAGCAGTGGATCCAGCCTTGGATCCCACTCCCGCTTTGGACGTAGTTACGGATCCAGTCTTAGACACTGATGCCGACTTGGATGTAGTGGTGGATCCGGACTTGGATCCGGCACCAGACGTCGAGGGGGAGGCGGAAGTCTTGGACGTGGATGTGGATCCCGCCTGAGAGGCCGCCTAAGAGGCCGAACTGGTTTTGGGCTTGGCCTTTGGGGAAGCTCGGGCATGCTTGTGAGGACGGGGGGATCCAGTGCTAGGAGCGGGAGACGCACAACGCGGTCGTTTCGCAGCCGACGGATCCGCCCCACTTACAGACGGTAGAGAAGCAGAAACGCTGGCAGCAGGAGAGGGCCCAGACAGGGGAGGAAGGGGATCCGAGACAGCAGCTGTCACCAGCGCCAGTCGTCGGCGTGCCAAATCCCGCTCCGATAAGCCACGATCGCGCTCCAGAACTAGCTGCTGGAGCTGAACATGAGCTGCAGCGAGTTGATCCCGGAGTTTCGCGGCGGTCGCATCGGCTTCTTTCAATTTGTCACCTGGATTGACAATAACGAGTGAATATGGGGTTACTAGCAAGGACTAAAAGAGGATCCACGTACTCGTGCGGCGAAGCTTGGATTCCAGCTCTGTTTGTGCACGCTTGGCATCCGCCCACTCGGTAGCCGCCTTGTCCCGCTGGAGTTCGCTGTCCGCCAGCTTCGCTTGGATCTCGTCGCGCAATTGAGTCATGCGCACGAATTCTTCGAGCGCGTAATCTCGCCCAGCAGACGCTTTCTCGAGTGACTCCTTGGTATCTTTCAACTCCTCAGAGAGACGGGCCAGAGCTACATCCGGCGACGAGGGAGGTGGATTTGGCGCGGGGACCCTCCACGCGCCGACCCTAATGCGGATCCTCCATGGGTGGATCCCACATAGTCGTTAGTTACCACCTCTTCTTGGGTCAGGCGCAACTCGTCACAGAGTCGATCCAAGCTCTCGTCCGCGGCTGCACTAGCGGTCTGGGAATCCTCCAAATCCCGCTCGAGGTCATGGATCCGAGATTGGAGCTGGTGGATCTCAGATCCGGCGAGCGCCATCTCCCTAAGGAGGTGGTCGTTGTCATCTCGCATACCATCTCGCTGACGGGAGGCGCGATCCCGCCGTCCGGTCAGGTCGCGGATCTCGACCGCTTGATCAGCCAACAAGAGTCGTAGGTCCTGCGAACGAGAGGCCGCACGGTGCTCCCACCCCTGGATCTCCATAGCCTGGTCATGGACCTGGGCTCGCAAGGTTTGGAGCTGGGTGGCGTGCAAAGACGCAGCTTGGGCTTGGGCATCTTGAGCCGTCTGGAGCTCCGCCGTCAGGGTTTGCACCTGATCGGAAGGAGCCTGGGCTAGAACCCGCAGATCGGTGAGCGACATAGAAGACAGACTGACCGGAGGTGTGGTGGATGGGGCCTTGCCCGACGATTTGCCGGTACGCTTGGTGGGAGACATGTGTCACGAAGAGGAGAAGGCGGTTGTGGATGCTGGTAGTGCACGTCGTGAACGCTGTTGTGCAGCGCCGACCACGTACAGGAGGCGATTGTGGTGAAGTGCTTTCTCAGAATTATATAAATGGACCTAACGCGGGGTCACTATCCCGAATCAGTGACAATTTCAAGTGGTTAGAGAGGATTTGGGTTGGTGGCACGGATGGAAGTTGCCTGTGGTGGATTAGCCATGACGAGCGGCACCCCGTATGGAATGACGATGGATCTAGTATGAGCGATGTACAGGAAGACAAGATCCACCAAGACTTATCTCGGATCCACCCTTACCTGGATTCACTTAGGTGGATATGGGATACACTATGTACCAGTGGATCGAGTGGGGATCCTATGAAGGAATGGTGGTAGGTGTCATCCGAAGGTGGATCTAATAGCCACGGCTAACGAGGAGTCAAGATCCACCGCGAGGTACCCCGGATCCCATACTTCCGAGTTCGGATCCATGGAGGGAGGATCCCGCATAGAACGACCTGGATCCAGGATGCTGGGATGATGGATACAGTGGATCTCGAGCTTTCGTGGGACAATGGAGATCACAGACGGTTGCAAGATGATGTTGGATGATTGGAGAGCTCAGATCCATGACGAGTGTACACTTCAGTGAAGTGGGTCCAAGCAACCCGGATACAGATGAGTGTACCCATAATAGGGTGACCATATTGATTATGCCATGGATCCGGTGGATCTGAAGATAACACAGCTGGGATGATGGGTCAAGGAGAGAAAGGACATGCAGCCGAGCCTGGTAAGGGATTTAACAAGTAAAAGACATAGAAGGTAGAGATCCAGGCAGGTGTAGGCTTAAGTATCAATACAGACTTCTATTTGCACTGTGGAGAGCAAGTGGCCTGTAGTCGTCTCGGGGGTTGGACTTGGCCTCGGGCGATCGCCGTAACAGGAGTGAACATTGGCCCTGGACAAGGACAGCGTCTTCTTCGCCCGCCAAGCATTAGGTCTCACTATGGAGTAACCAAGATCACGAACTAGAGAACAAGTGGGCACGGAATCGTAACGGGATCATCAAGTGGAGAACAACTACGTGTGGCGTTCCGACGGGGATTGGATTTGGCCTCGCAGAACAATCGTAGCTGAGATGAGCATTGGCCCGGACAAGTTGCGTGTATACTTTGACCCTAGGGACTAAATCAATAAATAAAGTCTTCTGTTTGCACAGTAGCACGCAAGTTCCTTCCTGCCCTCAAGAACCGGAATTACATTGGCCGTACGAGCTAGAAGAAGGTTGGGAATCGCGAATCTCGTGCTGGTAGTAATAACTGGATAATACATTGGCCAGATCCTACAACCTAGTGAGCTTTTCCTTTACACGTGCAGATCCGACAGGCTAACCGAATTTACTACTTGGTCGGTTACACCCTAGAGGCTCTCAACTCTCAAGATCCCGTCACAGGAGGCGGCAAGTACGACGCAAAGGAACTACAAAGGCAAGGGAACACACCCGTAAGGCAACCCTACGGCCAGATCCACGATCTAGGCCCTGGATCCACAAGCTCGAATATTCGCTTAGGATTCGGAACCATCCACGGACGCAGAGTGAAGATTTTCCACGGTTGCTCCACCCCATCCCCACGTCTCGCCAAGACACTCAAGTTTCACCACTTGAACTTTTCGGAAGTTACCGAGAGAGCAAGATCCCGCCCTACCCGACGGGTACACAAGGTGAGGAAAGTTCAGCAGAACACGGATCATCGGGGGACCCCCTCCGTTAGTCGGTGTCTGGGCGCAGTTGGTAAGTTGGATCCAGCAATCTCGCAGATTTTGCTGATCCCGCTACACCACATCCGCATCGCTTGGATTTGACGCTTTGTCGCATCGTAGAGATCCACGATAGAATGGCGGATGACCTTGGCGTTTAATGCTACACGAGCCTCCTCCTTGAACATTAAGTCGCGGATTATCCGCGACTCTTCGTACTCTCCAATTCTGAACGGAAGGTTGTTGTTCACGATGCGCAGTGTCTCCAACAAGACGTAAGCGCGGCCAGGATCATCGCGAAAAAGTGGACTCCTCTTTAAAACAGCGAGATCTTCGTCGCGAGTTCTTTTCCTGCCCTCCTCGCTGGCGGTGTTGTCGGAGCCAACGTCGTGTGCCTTGCTTAGATGAAGCATCACTTTTGACGTCTTCCCGCCTGACATCACGATCTTTACACGCTGGGTGCGGCAAGTCTCGGCCGCCATGCACATCCACACAGCAGGTGCGTTGGTGTCGGCCGTGCTGACGACGCGGACACCCCAGTCGTAGACGAATGACGTCTCACTCGTCTTGGCGCATAAAATCTTCGTTCCAGCTTCGGGGACAAAGGCCTGGATGGCCTCCCGTACAGCGATCGGGATACTGGCTTGGTCGCGACGCCTTCTTCGCTCTGGGTCCATGAGTATCTGCTGAAGATCGCGGTGTGATAGCAGGAAGCAAATAGCTTTTTAAAGCTCCAGTCAGCGCAAAAAAATGCAAAAACGCACCGTAAATTAGCCAATGAAGTACGCCAAACTGGAGAACCCCTCGCCCTCTCCCATATCAAGGGGTTCAGGCTCTCTTTACTTACGGGAGGAACTTTCGATCCCGACGTTAAATGCGGGGAAGAATGAAATTTTTCAGATTACCGGCTCCAAACCGAAGTTGAAACGGTTACTGAATCTTTTTCGACTCGGTTCGTCCCAGGGGTGGGTTAGCGCCTCCGCGACGTAGCCAATTCGTGCCATCAAATCCACCGAGTTCTGAAAAATAAGATATTGTGTAGCCATTTTTGATTAGGTACGATCCTCCCCCAACTGTTCACTCAGTGAATCACTGGTACAGCTGCATCTGAGTTGGTGGCACGATGAGATCCTCGTTAATAGGGGCAGCCAGATACTGTTTAAGAAGATTCTTGAGCTCGGTGTTCTGCGCCTTCATGGCAGTAACGTCGTCAACCAGCTCTTTACGCCGCAATAGTGCCTTGTTGTAGTACATCAAACCCTTCTCAAGCGTAGCCATAGTGCGAATCTTTTCTGCCGGGAACACCTTAATAATATTCTGCCAGTATTCCTTCTCTGCCTTTCGTGTCTTGGCTTTTAGCGCTGCCGAGCTGGTTATCTTACTGTTTTTCTTCACCGCTTCAGACTCGCCATTTGCTGATCGGTGGAGGATCCGAGCGAACGGGGCAGCTCGCTTCTGGTCGTTCATCTCCTGTTATTATAGTGACATCATGGATAAAGTTGTTAGTGCTCCTACAGAGACAACAGTGCAAGAAGTAAATTATAAACGAACTTCAACGAACTGCTTGATGACTCGGATGACATCCTCTGGTCCAACCATAAGACCCCATGACGCCTTCGATTCGTCGTTGCCGGGTGATTTGTTGTCTTTACTGTTGTCTGATACTTCTTGTCGGGGGTCTTCGAAGAAGTACCCCATCAGTTTCTCCATTTCCTCTTCCCTGTCCACCCCGAGAGCACGCATAATCATGTCCGCCTTCACCAGTTCAGCCTCATCATTAGGAAGATTATTGAGAGCCTGCTGGACACTGCCATTAACCAGGAATCCGGCCTCAGACGCGAGCATTTTCAGCATGTATTTCAACTTGAGGCCAGATATTTTCTTGATAAGCGGCGTGTACTCCTCGACGGACTCGTCGTCAAAGTCGTCTTGATCGGGATTGCCTCCGCTGTCGTCTCTCTTGTTGCCACTTTTGTTGATCTCAATGGCATCGGGTGACGACTCGTCTCCGTTTTCGAGTTGCTTTTGAAGTGCCGCTATGTTGCCTGCTTTAGCTGATTGGCTCCAGTTTTTAATCGATTGAACAGGTGGTCGCCACGTAAGTCCAAGCTGCTGTTCATGGATAATGCGGTCAGCATCCAGCAGCTTCTCGATCTTACAGATTGCTTCCTCTTCGTGCATCTGCCAGACCTCGCCAAACTTGCTGCTGTCGCTGGCCTCGAAATGAGCGTATTTCCTCTGTAGGTCACGGTACTGCTTCGTCAGACGTCGGTATTCTTCTGTCAGTTCCTCATTTTGATGCCGATCACGCGCATCGGTCTGGTTGTACTTGGCTATAAGTGAAGCCAGCGCGTCTTTCAAACGCGCCAGCTTGCGCTTCTGTTGGCTCAGCATTGCAGAGTTCTCCATGTCTCGCTCCGTGAGAACTCGATAATTGTACTCCAGTTTTTCTGTGTTGAGCTGGTACGTTGCACGCATCTCTTCGAGTTGCTGCTCAAGTGTCTGGATGTTGGTCTCCAGCTTGACCTTGAGCTCGTTGTAGTCCTCTGCATCGCGCACTCGCAAATCTTCGATCTCCTGTAAGTACTGCTCGTCTCGCGCTTGTTTGGCTTCCATGTAGACCATCTCCATCTCTCGTCGCCGCTCAAACAGTGAGTCAATCTCGAGCTTGTTGTTCGCGATGAGATCATCTCGCTCTTTCATAAAAGCGTCTTCCATCTGCTCAAGTTCGAGCTCGTACTCGTCCTGCATCTCTCGATACTGCTGGCTCATGCGGTCGACTAGATTTTCGACCTCTTCCGCCTGAAACTTAAGCGCATTGACGTATTCTTCGTCCTTGGCCTTCAAATGGCGCTGAAACTCGCGGATGACGGTATATTTCGACGCCAAGATCTCTGTACAAGCGCGATTCTGCAGCTCCAGCTCGTTGTGCAGCTCCTGTGGCATACTGAACTCGAATATATCTGTCCATCTCATCTCAACAGCAGCGTTCTTTGCGCCACTATCGATGGCTTCTTGCTGCAACTTTTCCACGCGCTTGTGACGTCGCTCTTCTTCCTCGATGCGACGTCGATTCTCGGCGTCATCTGCATCCACTCGAACGCTCGTGACATGGCGGATCCCTGCCAATTTGTGGCGGTCGAGCAGGTTGAGACTGTCTACGACCTGCTGCTTGCCGCGGCTCATGCGCTGCGACTCGCCCACCTGCAACTGTTTCTTCCTCGAGGCATCATCTTTGGAGGCGCTGCGTGTGTCAATGCGCTGTCGACGCACATTTACACGAACCGCTCGATCAATCGCCTCTGTCGACGGGTCTGCGTGCGCCTTGGAAGAGGACGCAGTCGAGTCCATCGTCATTACGCCCAAGAATTTTTAAGCTGAGAAGTTAACGGTGCCGTTTTAGTAACGGCAACATCACATCACATCTTCCAGCATTTTATACTCCAAATTACATTGCGTGATTGGTTCTATAGGCTACAGTGTAGCTGGGTACGTAGCCCTAAGTGTACCCCTAGTTACATGAAGTGTGACACGTCACACTTCAGAAGTATGACACGTGGGATATTTGGTACAAGGTACCAAGGTCGTCCAAAGCCAACCATTGGCTGGTGACATTGCATTTCTATAGGTGACTTATAGTGTGTATTAAACCCAAGCTTTATCTACCTATAAGTATACTCAGTTTACATTCTACCTTAAATAGGTCACTTCGCTCCCTTTTGATAAAGAGGGGACCTGTTGTAACGGGGTACGTAGCCCTAAGTGTACCCTGGTTACATGAAGTGTGACACTTCACACTTCAGAAGTATGACACGTCATGCTTCGGGATATTTGGTACGAAGTACCAAGGTCGTTCAAAGCCAACCATTGGTTAACGACATTGCATTTCTATAGGTGACTTATGATTTGTACTAAATCCAATCTTTATCTACCTATAAATATGCTCAGTTTACATTCTACCTTAATTAGGTCACTTCGCTCTCTTTTGAATAAAGAGGGGACCTGTGAACTGCCGTTCACTGAGAGTTTGTATACTCTCGGAAGCTAACTTCCTCTAGCGCAAGGCGCTGTGTGACCCCGTCACACTTGGTAGCACTCGTAGTCAATCCACGCCACCGCGGGTAGACTACCTGAACCTCTCCGAAGTTCGTTGCCATGGATAGGAACGACTTCTCCCATATGAACGACTCTCAGCTCGAGTCGGTTCGGAAGATGGCAGGCATCTTCGGGATGGACGCCCTGCAGAGCCTGGTGGTGTCACCACCGGCCGAGCAGCTCGAGCGCGTCAATGCGTTTGACGCGTACGAGCAGGGTCTCATCGCGCATGTGCGAGAGAGCCTGCAGGCTCCGGCGGCGGAAGCAAATCCGCCTCACCCAAAGCCAATACGGCTGAAGGTAAAGCCGTATGAAGGGAAGGAAGGCGAGAGCCTTCACTTCTGGATCCGAGAAGTAGAGCTCGCGATGGACGCGGCTCTGATCTCGACCGAGCAACTTCGTGTTGCTTTTGCACTCTCCAGCCTTAGCGGCCGTGCTAAGAGTTGGGTGTACACACGGGAAGCAACAACCCCTGGATGTTTCACATCCTGGGCTCAGCTGTGTAAACAGCTCCGAGCCGCGTTCCTCCCGGCGAACTACGAGTACAGCCAGCGTTCGCGCTTCCTCTCGTGTAAACAAGGGAGGCCTGAACTGCACGAGTACGTGCAAGAGATACAGGAGCTCACGGCGTCCCTAGTGGGAAACCCACTCAACAAGACACATTAAGATGTGGGCACCGCACGCACTCAGCTGTTCCGGGTGCAGCCAAGCACTCTTGAAGAGGCGATTCAAGTGGCTCTTCAAGAAGGGTACAGCCATCGCCAGGCGCGTACGCCGGCCTCAGCATGGCCTGGGAGCTCTTTGTCGACTCCCGGTCGAGCGAGCCCCAACGGACCAGTTCCCATGGAACTCGGGTCCGCCGAACAGCGTGACATCCGCTGCTTCGGCTGCGGGAAGATGGGCCACTTCAAGCGCGACTGTCCCGCGGAAAGACTCCGCAGACGTTCCTTCCCCAAGCCCGTCCTCAAGGGTCGCTGGCAGAAGCCAGGATCCCGGGGACAGGGGAACGCCGGTGTAACGAGGTAAGAGATACCGTTACTAGCTTACACTATAGTGCGGAGGAAGCTCGCAATATTAAAACCAAGTCTTAGGTTTGTGTCAAATTCAACTCAGATTTATTTAGGACCAGGGCGGCTACCCCTGGCCTCGTGTGAACCACTCAAACACATGTCTATATCTGATTGGTCAATAAGTGAGCCTGGCTCCTCACTATCAACCCAATCAGATGATGACACTTTGGCACACGCTACCCGTGTGCCACTATACCTAATTATGTAATAACTAAAGAAATATCTACCTACTTATGTAATTGGAGTTGGGCCCATTACATCACCCTCCTCTCTTAGTTGCGCTTACGCAACATAAGCGCACGGAACCCATCTGAAGAAAACTCGAAAACCGACAAGGCGGAGACATCGGAGACAGCGCGAAGGGCGGCAGCGCCAGCGCGTCGCTGGCGGTGGTAACAAGGGCAAACCCAGGGTCGACAGGTGCGCCACAAGCTCTGGATGTACTGCGAGGACCGTCACTGTGCGTCTCGGCTCCCAAGACACACACCGACGAAGTGCCCAGCGTACATGCGACTTAGAAGACTCCGAGCTGGAGGCACTTGGATCACTGACATGAGGAACCTCACGAGGCCGACTTCGTGGCGCAATGGTCAATGCATGTGTGGTGTAGCGGGAATAGCAAAATCTGCGAGATTGCCAGATCCAACTTACCAACTGCGCCCAGACACCGACTAACGGAGGGGGTCCCCCGATGATCCGTGTTCTGCAGAACTTTTCTCACCCTGTGTACCCGTCGGTAGGGCGGGATCTGCTCTCTCGGTAACTTCCGAAGAGTTCAAGTGGTGAAGCTTGAGTGTCTTGGCGAGACGTGGGGATGGGGTGGAGCAGCAGTGGAAAATCCTGAACTCTGCGTCCGTGGATTGTTCCGAATCCTAAGCGAATATTCGAGCTTATGGATCCGGGGCCTAGATCGTGGATCTGGCCGTAGGGTTGCCTTGCGGGTGTGTTTCCTTGCCTTTGTAGTTCCTTTGCGTCGTACTTGCCGCCTCCTGTGACGGGATCTTGAGAGTTGAGAACCTCTAGGGTGTAACCGACCAAGTAGTAAATTCGGTTAACCTGTCGGATCTGCACGTGTAAAGGAAAAGCTCACTAGGCTGTAGGATCTGGCCAATGTATTATCCAGTTATCACTACCAACACTAGATTCGCAATTCCCAACCTTCTCCTAGCTCGTACGGCCAATGTAGTTCCGGTTCTTGAGGGCAGGAAGGCACTTGCGTGTTACTGTGCAAATTGAGGTCTGTATTGATATTTAAGCCTATACCTGCCTGGATTTCTACCTTCTATGTCTTTCATCTGCTAAATCCTTTACCAGGCTTGGCTGCATGTCCCTTCTTCCCTTGACCCATCATCCCAGCTGTGTTATCTTCAGATCCACCGGATCCATGACGTAATCATCATGGTCACCCCATTATGGGTACACTCATCCGGATCCAGGTCGCTTGGATCCACTTCACTGTAATCGTACACTCGCCGTGGATCCGAGCTCTCCAATCATCCAACATCATCTTGCAACCGTCTGTGATCTCCATTGTCCCACGAAAGTTCCAGATCCACTGTATC